TGGTCCCAGAGAGCATCCCGCAGCATCACCACCTCCACCACGGCCAGCCGCCGCCGCCGCCAAGTTTGCAGGGCTCGCCCCAGCCGCCGCCGCCGCCGCCGCCGCAGCTGGGCTCGGCCGGCTCTGCCCCCCGGACTTCCACCTCTTCCTTCTTAATTAAAGACATTTTGGGCGACAGCAAACCGCTGGCAGCGTGTGCGCCCTACAGCACCAGCGTCTCCTCTCCCCACCACACCCCGAAGCAAGAAGGCAACGCCGCCAGCGAGAGCTTCAGGCCAAAGCTAGAGCAGGAGGACAGCAAAGCCAAACTCGACAAGCGCGACGACCCGCAGAGCGAGCTCAAATGCCACGGTGAGTAGCCCGCTGCTCTGCCCTGCTCGGCGCGGGGCACCTGCGGCGCCAAGACCCGCGGCCGCGGCCCAGCTCCGGCCTGCTCGCGTGCGGAGGGGACCGGGAGCTCTGCCGCGCTCCTGTCCCCGCCTTTTCTTTCCACCGAATAAGCCCCCGAGCTCTGCCCTTCTCCCTCTCGGGCTCATTATTTTTGAGGAGGAAAAAAATAACCCGAAATAACCGCGTGTTGGGGCTTTTTTTTGTAACGAATTTGTTTATGTTCAAATGCAAATGCGATGAAATGACTCCCGTGTTGTGCAAACACCACGCGCCGGGCTTTAGGGGTGCGTAATTAAGGCCGCGGTTCCCGAGCCGGGCTACTGGAAGGCGAAAACTTCCTATTTGTGCCCGAGCGCCTTCAGAAAGACTCGCGCTTTCTTCCTCCCTCCTCTCCTAAAATCTCAGGCCCGTGGCCCGGCTGGGCGGCGAGGGCACCTCAGACCTGCGGGCGAGCGGCGGGGGAGCCACGTCTCTGTCGTGTGGCCCCTCGGCTGCTGGGCGAGGCGAGAGCGGGAGCCGCTCCCGGGCGCCGCGGCAAGCTGCTGCGTCGCCTCGCCTCTGCAGGCGGGGCCCGAGCCAGATGGAGCAGCCTGGGCTGGCGATTTTTGTGTGTGCGTGTGTGCACCACCCTCCCCAGTGGGTCAATTAGGGAGATTATTGTTCTTCCTGCAGGGAAGATCAGGAGCGTTGCAAAAACTGGTACAAACAGAGCTGGATTGACGTATCGATCTCCCGGCGGCGCGGCGAGAAGCCCGAGCTGACAAATAGACTCCGCAAGGCTCGGCGCGGTCACCGGGACCTTGTCCCAGCGCGGCCCGGGTGTCCCGGGGCGGGGCAGGGCGCTGGCCGCGGGAATTGCCCTTGATGGGGGCAGCCCCCGGGGCTGGGGGAAGGGGGTCGCGGGCGCCCCGGCCCGGCCCGCGAGCACTGAGCCGTGCGTGTGAATTGTTCGCAGGGACAAAGGAGGAAGGCGACCGCGAGATCACGAGCAGCCGGGACAGCCCCCCGGTGCGAGCCAAGAAGCCTCGCAAGGCGCGGACGGCCTTTTCGGACCACCAGCTCAACCAGCTGGAGCGCAGCTTCGAGCGGCAGAAGTACCTGAGCGTGCAGGACCGCATGGACCTGGCGGCCGCGCTCAACCTCACCGACACGCAGGTCAAGACCTGGTACCAGAACCGCAGGTAAGGGCGGCCCGGCCCGGCTGCTGCGGCTCTCCGGGGGCTCAAGGCGGCGGGGAAAAATAACCCCCAGTGGCGCCTCCGCTAGGGCCGGGGGCAGGCTTTGCCGAGGAGCGCGGGCCCTGGGACGCACAGGCCGGGCCTCGCCGCGCCGAGAGCCCGGCTCCGCCGAGATTCAGGTGCCGCCGCGGTGCCTCCGGTTCACCGCCAACACGGTCTCAGGGCAGACGCTCAGGGCGGCCTGATGCGGACACGAGCACCCCGTGGGCCGCGCCGGCCTCGCTTCCCGAGCGGGCGCGGATCCCTGGTCCCGCGGCAGGCGCGCTATGCGGAGTCGCTCCCC